TTCCAAGTTTATCTACATGATCATGTAATCCAAAAGCTTCAATTATTAGATAGACATGTTTATTTAGCCTCATTTTGTACAAAATTTATAAATGGTTTAATTTACAAATAGATAAAAATGAGTGATGGATTTAAAAGTTTACACGAATACACTAAAAGGTAAACTAAATAATGTGATACATATTATAACATACCATATTACTTTTTGTAGCACACGTAACATATATGTTATTTTTTGTAACACGTGTAATACAGTGTTACACTTATCCCCGCATGTTTTTGCTGTTGATACCATCCACCATCACCACCACACATTACCACTATACCTACACACTTGGAATGGATCGAGCGATTCAATACAACCATCGCCCAAATCCCCAAACCGGCGCCACCGCGACCAAATCTACACCATCTTCAAGACCCACCATCAACTCTACAAAAGTCTTCCCCATATAACCACCCCAACTGCTAGCTACGTATTTAAGAAACAACCAGCAACAAGTAGAATGTTGTCACCACCCTCCACTTATTTTTCCATTACTGTTTCGTCTCAAAACCAATGATGGTCGGAGGGTTGTGTTACTTGTGTATGTTTTTGCTCTTGATTTCGATAACATACAACAGCCTAAATGTGAACTTTTTTGACCTAAAATTTGAAAAACTCTAATTTCATAGGGTCTTAATATTATATACTTCCCTTCAAGGTATTTAAGAACGCCACCCGAGAAAACAATGGGGCCTGATCCTCATAATTCTGAAACTAGTTCGGGTCAAACTGTCCAAATTGAGGATGGCCTAGCCCACTTTACAAAGAACAAAAAATTCATTCCTTTTGGATTTACAATTCAACATTTTCTACTTACAATGGTGCAATTAGAGTTTTCAAGTTGAAAATGTTGTGGGCTGGGTTGTACCGGCCTGTCCCTCCACCTCTGCGCCGCCCAGCTCGATAACAACTACAAGAGGCTTATGTTGGTGCGGGAGCAACTAGTGATAAGAGGACGTGAAGTGTCTCTCTTTTATTATTATTATTTCTATAAATATTGTCCCTGTTTGCAAAGACACGTTTAAGGCTGCTCAAGTTGAACGACCGCACAAAACCTTTGCATTGTAGGGGAACCAAAAAATTTTTTTATATGGGTTCATATATATATAATTAAATATTTAAAATATCTTAATAATTTTAAATTTTTATTATTATATTAAGTTAAATAGCACAATATTTACGAAAAAAAAGTAAAAGAAATAATATTACGTTAATATTTTTTTAGTTTAACCTATTATTGAAAAAATATTTATTCTTTGTAATTTTAAACTATTTTGCTATCGAATAAAATAATATTTTAAACTATTTATTTTACTAGCTCAATCTCAATTGCCTAATTAGCTTCATTAACATTCAAATGATTAAAGTAAAGAATGAAAAGCTAATCTCAAAACCCTTTTCGTCATTTCCCTCACTCCCATCATTTAAATCATGAAGAACACTCAAATAGAGAGGAGAAAAAGCTCTACCATTGATCTTTGTTGCTTGCTATACAATGGTATATTATTGAAAAAATATTTATTCTTTGTAATTTTAAACTATTTTGCTATCGAATAAAATAATATTTTAAACTATTTATTTTACTAGCTCAATCTCAATTGCCTAATTAGCTTCATTAACAAATACCCGCAATAAGCAGTCCAAAATTCAAATGATTAAAGTAAAGAATGAAAAGCTAATCTCAAATCCCTTTTCGTCATTTCCCTCACTCCCATCATTTAAATCATGAAGAACACTCAAATAGAGAGGAGAAAAAGCTCTACCATTGATCTTTGTTGCTTGCTATACAATGGTACAATCTACATTGTAACATCGCCATTTTATTTGTGTCGATTGTCGACTTGCTAATTGTTATTTCATGATTTTCTTGGCTCTAGAAGGTTAAGTTTTTATTACATGAAAGGGACATCGTTTTAAGTTTTTGTTATTGCTGCCAGTAAGGTTTTTTTTTAAAAAAAAAATTATATGAAAGGGGCATCCAAAATCTTAAGGCCGGCCCTGTCTGTTTGATCCCCAACAAAAAAAAATAAAAATCAATTTTTTAAAATTTATTTTTAACCACACATTCCCACAATAAAATTTTTGTACATAAATTTAAAAATCATTCTACTTTTTAATCACACATTCTCTAAAAAATCACTATTACAAAACTTATTTTCAAGCAAAAATAGGACTCAAGCATAGGCATTATATCTTTATCGGTGTTCTAAAAAACATCGCAACAGAAAAACGCTTTGCGTTGCGCTTTTTCAAATTTTTTTTTTTACGTCTAGGCGTGCCTAGTTCGCGCTTTTTACGCTTTTTTACGACTTTCAATGCTTTTTTACGTTTTTTTCCCTTTAATTATTAATTAAATTTTATATTGATTTAAAAAATTATAATAATACTAAAATAAGAAAAATGCTTAAACTCGTGTGGCCGAAACTCGACCTCCGCACTTTATACTTTTTAGAACACTGATCTTTATTATTTATGATTAGGAGGAAATATTGTTTGATTTGATTATTTTTAGAAATTGATTAAGAAGATTAATCATGATTTTCATGTTTTCATTTAAAAGGTATGGCTGGGGTTCACTGTAAGTTGACATCATTTTTATCCTCTCATTTTTTTTCAGAATATATTTTTTGTAAATCAACAAACGTTTGATCTCAAAATTTCAATATTCAATCTAATCATTTTTCAATTTTTAGTTTTGTAAAACACTGAAAATGTGTTTGATTTTGTATTTCTAAAAATGCATTTTTGATAACAATGTTAAATTTATAACATAAAAATCAAAATACGTTTTTGACATTTTGAATATTTTCAATGAAAATTCTGAAAACACTCAAAATATGAAAAGCAAACGTTAAAATAAAACTTTTAAACAATAAAAATACAAAATTCTAAAAAAAGAAATCAAAAAATTCAAAAATTCAAATCAAAAAATAAAATTTTGTAAATTCTAAAAAAAAATTTGAAAAAAAAATCTAAAAAACTAAATTCTAAAAAATAAAAAATTATGAAAAAATAAAAATAGTTCAAGCTCTTAATAATTATTTACATAAAAATTATTAAAATAAACACAAATAATTTTTTTATTAATCCACATCATTAATTTTTATTTACTATATTTTGAACTCAATTTATTTTTATTTTACTTTCGTAAAAAGAAAAAAAATATTGTAAGATTCAGCAACTTCAAAATGTACATATTACTTGATAATATATTAATATTAAATTGTTTTATTTTTACTGGAAAATCAAATTTTGTGGAATAAAATGTTATAAAACAATCTTTCAAGATTTCAGACTAAAAATGTTTTCTAGTTATATGTTTTGAGAAATAAAATTTCACAATGACAAGTCAAATACGTTTTTAGCAATTCTAAAATAGACTATCAAAATAGAAAACCGAACATGAACCCAAAACTCAAAACTTTAAAAGAAATCGAACGGTCCCTAGTTTTTTAATGCTAATATATTTCTCAAATTTTCACTGCTTCAATTTGTGATTATGAGGAGGCGAATAACTGAGAGTAGAATAATAATATTATTCATCTTGAGCTCTGATGATTACAGATTTGGAGAGCATTTTTTTTATTCACGAATAATGTTATGTAGTTCTAGTGGTGTATGTATCATTATACATGGAAATGACATTGTCTAATAAATGAAAACGTATTCCAAATTTATTGGACAACGAATATCTATATGAAACGTGTGCAAGTGTTTAATATTACTAGGCTAAATAACAATACTCTGGACTCATTCGGCAATATGATAATATATAAGTAACATTATAGAATCCGAAAATGGGGACGATAAAATTAACATTTTTCATGAGTAGCGTATTTTTGGCAAGTGGTTGAACTAAAACTTAGGTGATTATAAATTATAAAAATTTATGAAATGTGTGCATATTAAGTGAATAATAACTCTGAGACCTTCGAACATATGTAAAAAAAATTATATTTGACAAGAAGTAATTAATTTTTAGACTTTTGAAATTGTGCACAAAACTTGGATGGTTGAATTTAGAAGCCAATTATGGTCATAGTTAAAGTTAAAATTAGGGTAAATTACAATATCTTTATTTATTTTATCACATATATTCTTAATTTTTTTCGTCAAAATCTGATTTTTAATCTTTTATTAATTAGCACATCTCTCACTTCATAATGATTCTATTATAATATTGTATCTTCGTGCTTTTAGATGAGGGGAAAAAAAAAAATTTGTCACGCTTTATATTTATTTATTTTTTTAATATGATAGTAAATAAGACATTTTTTGTCCTCCAAATGAAAAATAATGCTACTCAAACAGGGTTTAAAAACAAGGGCTTTGATAGGTGCTGTATGGGTAAAAAAAAAATTCTAACTGTCAAATGATACTACGACACGTGTCCTCCCGTTTTTAAATCATTATCAATGATCTTGTTTGTGTAGCAGAACTCCCAAATGAATGCTTTGGTCAGAATCCATTATGAACTAGATATACATATTTATAGAAGTTTAAGAATGAGAGCCCCTTGAAAAAAGTGATAAACTTAAGTTCTTATTTGTTTATCATTATTCAATGAAAATGAGATTTTGAATAGTAGATTTAGGAAAATGTATAATTAAAAAATTGGGTTTACATATAAAATATTTTATCACGAGAATGTATGTTTAAAAATGAGTTTGAGAAAAAAAAAAGTTGAAATAATGGTAGACAAATGGGGCAAAGTCTTATAGTGCGCAAAAATTGAAGACCCTAAATTATTAAAATGATTATTAGGATCATTTAATGATGAAAAAAGCAATTACCCTCCAAGTTGGATTCTTATTGGCTAATTACCGAGTCAAAGAAGACATCATCATCTACAGCAACAACGTAGGACAAACACTCCTCACACACTGCGTCTCTCTTCTTCATTCATATAAAGAGACGCCATTTCTTCTACCAAACCCTAACATTTTGATCACAAAATGGGTGGAAAAGGCAAATTAGGCTGGTGGAAAATCTCTTTACACAAATCCTCTAAGTCGGAGACCAAAAAATCGCCACCCAATGAATTCCTCTGCCCGATTTTCAACTCCTTAATGTCGGATCCCGTCGTTGTTTCCTCAGGCCAAACCTTCGAGCGATTAACTGTGCAAGTATGTAGAGATTTGGGTTTCACGCCCAAGCTCCAAGACGGTTCCGAACCCGATTTCTCGAGTGTAATACCCAATCTAGCTCTAAAGAGTACTATCCTTAACTGGTGTAAGAAATCCGGGTTGGAGCTTCCGAACCCGCCGGAGTATTCGGAAATTGAGTCCATTGTTAGCTCTTTGATGTCGGCGAGTCAAAGATTTAGGGTTTCTGAAAGGGAATTGTTGGAGGGAGTTGAGGAAAATCCTAGGGTTTTATTCTCACACGCGGCTACGGAATTGAATCATCTCGATTTTTACTCCTCCAGCTCCGAAGAATCTGTGATTGCGAATGGTTCCCCTTTCTTACCATTTACAACAAAGCCCTCTTGCATTTCGTATTCGTCTTCGCCCTCGACTACGTCAGAATTTATCTCCGATGCCGTGTCGGATAATATTCCGACAACTTCGTCGGAGGATGAGCATTTTGTGAACAAAATGTCGAGTTTGGATGTTTTTGATCAAGAACAAGCTGTGATTTTGTTGCGAAAAACCACAAGGAGTAGTGAAGAAGCTCGAATTGCTCTTTGCACTGAAAGGCTGTTGTTTGCGTTAAGGGAATTGTTGAATTCACGGTACTCTGCTGTGCAAATCAACGCCGTGGCGGCGCTGGTGAATCTTTCACTCGCAAAAATGAACAAAATCAAGATTGTAAGGGCTGGGATTCTTCCACTGTTGATAGAAATTTTAAAGAATGGTTTTGAAGAATCACAAGAACATGCTACCGGTGCGATTTTCAGCTTGGCGCTTGAAGATGAGAATAAGACTGCAATAGGAGTGCTCGGGGCGCTGCAGCCGCTTTTGCACGTTTTGAGATCCGGGAGCCTTCGGAGTCGCCATGACGCCGCCCTGGCGCTGTATCACTTGACAATGATGCAGAGCAATAGGGTGAAGATAATTAGGCTTGGAGCGATCGGGGCATTATTGGGTATGTTGAAGGATCCGGTGGTGGCGGGGCGGGTGGTGCTGGTGGTGTGCAACCTGGCAGCATGCCCGAAAGGCCAGTCGGCATTGTTGGATGCAAATGCGGTGGAGTGCTTGGTGGAGATGTTGAGGAACGGGAACAAGTTGGACTCCGAGTCGATTCGAGAGAATTGTATCGCTGCGCTATTCTCGTTGAGTCGTGGAAGTTTGAGATTCAAGGGGCTGGCGAGGGAAGCGATGGTGATTGAGGTGCTACGGGAGGTTGTGGAGATGGGAAGCGAGCGTGCGAGGGAGAAGGGTCAAAGGATTTTGGAGGTATTGAGGGGACGAGATGAGGAGGAGGACCGGGGCGAGGTTAACTGGGAAGCCGTGATGCAGGGTCGGGTGAGTCGGGCAAGGTACCGAGTTGGTGGGAATACAGGTCCCAACTCTACTGAATTCTGAGTTTGAATGTCATGAAAATTTGGTGTAATTGTTAGTAATTTTGTGAAGCAAGTCAATATTCATGCTTAGCTTTTGATTATTTTTTGCACTTTTTTGTTTGGGTCCTAAATTCCTAGTCCAATCCAATCCCAAACCACTTGTGTATATTTTAGGATTCATGTGTAAATACTAGTTGAAGAGTTAATATTTGTGCTAGGTTGAGACAATTTCTTTGTATAAGTTTGAACTCTCAAGGGGTCAGCCGTGCAAGGATGGGTGATGGGAGGTGTCACGGGAGGTTGTCAAGGGGGGGAGTGAGCGGGCGAGGTGGAAGGACTGAAGAAAGTTCAGTAGTGTTTAAGGTAACGATCGAGCAGGAGGAGGAAGAGAACTGCGAAACTTTAAAGGAGTGTGGGGTGAGTCAAGGCAATTTTTGTCGATTTTGAGTCGAAGCTTTTTTATATTGTTTTGTAATTATCTAGGATTTATTTGTAAATTGTGGTTTATGGTTGAAGATTTTGTTGCTTTCAATTTTATGATTGATACAAGTCAAATGTGTTGTGCTAAGTTAAGTATGCTCGAGACATTTGTTTTGGTCAATGTAAGTTTGTTAAAAACAATTACTTCATTAAAGGAGTTGTCGAGTTTTTTTTTCTATTACAAGTATACGATATCATAACAAGTAATATAGTGAACATTTAAGTTCGGATTATCATTCCTACAAGGATCATACTTTAGAAATTAATTAAATTTGTCTAACTCATATTTGATAAAAGCAAACAAAGAATTATGTGTTATTGTGAATTTTTTATTTAAACAGTTGAAATTAATTAAAATGCACACAAAGATTGATTGAAAATTCAAATAATGGATGGAAATTAGAAACGAACAATTTCACCTATTAATCATCTTTAAGTCTTAATTCAAGATTCAAGAGTCTAATGTGGTGTTCAATCAAATTTTTTTATGATATTCAATTTATTCCTCTCGAGTTCTCATCGAGCCTATCTAACTAATTTATTCCAATATCTTTATGCGAATTTACCTTAGTTAAACGAAATATTGGTTCTAAAATTCATATGACGATCGCAATATTTATTATATGTATCTCTACACGTTATACTAAATTTTACTATATGATCTAAATCTCAAATTCACATCTTGATTCGTAAAAGATTCACAAAATCATTAAATTAGTGATTAAGTAATTTAATGCATTAAAATAGCAAATAAACATATGTATGATAAAATAATAAGAATCTTGAATAGAAGACATAAATGGTTTTAAGTAGATTACACTGTTCGCCTTAATATAAAATTTAGCTACTCATAATAAATGAAAAAGAAAAACAATAAGTTGTTATTGAATACATCACCGGATTTTGAATATAGATGTAGAAAAAGAAATCAATCTTGCACCATTTGTTTTTCATCTTCCAATCAATGTTTCAAAATGCGAATTTATTGATGTTTTCCTTCCTTGAATTGCATTCTTCAATCTCTTGTTGTATTATCTTTCTCTCATAGCCTCCCAAAAGTGCCAAGTACTGTTCATTTATACTCATCTCCACGGTAATATGAATATAAGGTTTCTTGTGGGCTCAACAATAGGGAAAAAAAAAAAAAAAAGACAATCTTGATGTCTATAGGCGAAGCCTGGTTTCGGCGCCACAACGCTGAGTCCAAATACCAAATGGCGCCGCAGTGCCTAATGTGTACTGCACCACAACTCTGTTCCCTTCATCTTTCGTGGCGCCTCCTGTGGCGTTACGGTGCCACACCTCCGATGTCTTCCTCATTGTGGCACCTCGATGCCACTCTTCTTTTCTCAATCTCCGATTTGACTATTTTACCCTTTTTGTTACCATGTCCATGTCCATGGCCTTGTCTTTTTTCTTTCCCTGATTTGCGCTACCTCACCATTACTACAAAACAACACTAATAAACACATTAAAAACGTTCACTACTCGTCCAAAGCATCCAAAAAGCACATCCCTTGGCTAAGACAAACAAAATAATAAAATTTTAAGATAAGATGGTATATTCAATATAGGCTTTTTAAGATTTCATTAAAGTTTGCTATTTAGCTCCATTGAAATTATAAACATCAGTCTAAGTAGTGTTAGGTGATAGACTATGTAAAATGTATAAATAAATGACTCATTTAATTGTATTTATCATTTGGACGTTTCATTAGCGCCCAACCCCAATATGATTACATAACATTACTCTAAAAGTTTTGGTATTTAATATAGACTTCTAGGAAGTTCTTAAAAATCTCGGATATTGAAATGAAGACTTTCTAAAAGTCATTTGTATTAAAAATTAATTTATTTTTTAAGATTTTTATAAAATTCTCTAAGTATAGACTGAATACACTCATACAATGAGCAATATATTCTAATGTCAATTGACGTTCAATCTATTTGGATCGCAATCTCGTAGTGCTAATGGCTTTACCAAATCGAGCACTCTTTCTCGACATCATCCATAGAACCATTAGAATTGTGTTCATCTAGTAAAATCATTGCCAAGCGAACCACCTTTGAGCTTTGTTGTCATTACCACACGAGCAGCATTTGAGCTTTCAACTAGTCATTAGCATTTTTCTAATGAAAGAAGCCACTTATGAGAGAAATTATTGAAAATATCCCAAATTCAACAATACGCTTTTCAAAATATCCTTTTACTACTTTAAAATTTAAAATTTCAAAAATACCCTCAATATGAAA